ACGTGTTAACCCCGATAGCCGCCATCATGCCAACAAGCATAGTGTTTGATAAGGCAATACGTGGGCAAGTTGGAAGATACAGCCGCTAGAAGGGAAATGATCATCCAAAATGAAAAGCCAACAGCAAACAGTCCATCCAGATCATCAACAAAACTAGTGGGCGTCACGTCACTGGGGGCGGGCGTCACGCGGGTCCTGCTCAGCAACCACAGCACCTTTCGCCGTGGGAGGGCCACACATCGCTTCCTTGGCAGCCAAGTAATTGCTCCGTGTGGCGCAGGTTCTCCCCCGATGCGAAAATTCCTTATCGTAATCGCTTCCTTTAGAATGCTATCGCATATCCCGGCTCAACTAAACACTTTTGATCGAAACTACGATCCCTATATAGTTGCCTACAAGACGGTTGTTTACTAGGTCTGAAGGTGAAAAGGCTGGAGCTCTGTAAGCGAAAAAAAGGCGAAGGTCATTTCACAGCCTTGCTGGTTTCAACGTTTGATCTCTTGAAAAGGCTATTTAGATGGCTGGAAAAGTGGCAGTTGGTAGGCAAGGAGGTCTATTGTGTAAGATGGTCGCAGCACAGTTTTGTAGCTCAGCTAGTTCAACTTGTGCATTGCTGGAAGTGCGAGATGTGCGCAATTGCGGGGAAAAGAGCTGGCGGCATCAACTTGTCGAATTACTTGGACCTTCTTTGGGCAACTGTATATTTAAAAACCCCATAAGAGTTACGCTTGGCTAGAGAGCGGCCTGTTCAACAATACCATGGAGACTTGGATTGACCAAACCCTCATTTATCTTTCTCAGTCTCCGATATCCGACCTTCACCCTAATCTTCTTCGAGCTTTTATCATCGCGAGAAAGACATTTGAATCACGACTGCACAGCAATTTTTGTGGATTCGGGACCAAATGCTCAGTTGATATCCCGACTTGCTTCAGCACTTTTCCGACCAAATTTGAGAGGAAACAAGAAACTTGTACATAACAGCCTGTTGAGTATGTTGTATTCAAGACTTCAAAAAAGGAGAAAAATAATTCAGCGTTACAGTTACAGTAAATTTGGATCTGACTAGTAGAATGATAGGTTTCTCCATAGCTATTCGAAAATGAAGCGTAAGTAAGTGAGCGACAAAAACAGCGGAAACTTTCCGAACAACCCAATACTAAAAGGGAGGCACTCCCCTAATGGCCCCATTGCCTTTTCCTCTACCAAGTCGCCGTCTATGGTTCAAGCCATCTTATCAACTGGCCAAATAAGGGTGGAATTGATCTCGCCCTCTGTCTGAAGTCAAGGTGGGCATCCCTCGTTCCCCAACGCATTTCAAGACGCACCAAGGCAGGATCAACGTACCCTCGTCGCATTCTATGTTCCATTCAAACCCTGTGGCATCTTGGATCGATTTGGCCTGCACAATACCAATGTATGCGAGGATCAAGCGATTGTCATCCCATTAGTAAGAATTATCCCGTCGCAAAGTGGTCAATCTCAGATGACAAAGAAGGGAAAGTCTACACTGCGACAGAGAAGACCCTCATGGACACGTTTTATATATACCTCACGTGCTCCTATTCTTTTCAAATGTAACTCACGTGACATTTTCCTTTTTGTACTGACATATGCAGTACTGAAATGGTATTGGTAATGTTTTGCATGTCCGTTCGAATGCCGCTCTCGAACTGCCTGAGTAAGGATGAGCCATGAGGATCACTGTCGAAGCGTTTGAATGTTATATCCGAAAAATTCTTCGCAGAAAGTCGCTGAATGCAGTGCTGATTTTTACATGGCTTTCTAATTCTCGGTTTTGAGAATATAGTTTTTACACCTATATGATTGAGTTGGGCCTCTACTCCATGTAATCCCTGTTGTAAACTGAATAGCAACGGCACGGCTTCTTTCTGGCATATTTCCAATTATTAGGTTGTTGCAATGTAAATGCCGCACACACTTACTTTCAGCCCCACTGGGCAGCTCTCAAATCTTCGAAGGTAGTTGCGTATTCATTCCAAAAAGAGGCATTTGAGAGTCTGTCCACAGCCATATCATTTTTTGTTTTTCACTTGGATTTTCCTTCAAACGCGATTGAACTGAAGTTCGTTGAGGCGCACGGCAGACTTAGCTAGACATTAGAGAAGGACTGAATCCAGCCAACACGGTCACGGCAGACTCTCATAAACACAAAAGCTCCCATATAAAACCGTGCTTTGAATCGGCAAAAAAGAAAAACAAAGACCATGTGAGTTCACTTCATAACGAAAAAGCTAAATTCTACATAAATGATCACCAAGAAAGTGCGAGACCAGACTGAAGACATCTGAATTCTAAGCCAAACAGCTCTCATTACACTCCATCTACAGGGTGGCTGAAAAGTATAGGACGTCATGTTTTTGAGTGTAAAAGCAAGGAGGAAGCTCTATTACCAATAAAGCTTCAGGAGGATACAGTCGGTCTACGTGATATCATATTGCAAAAGGTGCTCTATTTTGACGATTCTGCTTTGACAGAGGCCTTCTGACGTCCAACGACAAAATCAGCAGTGCGCCGCAGGTAGCCAACGGCGATGTCGTCCCACCTCTTCTGAAGCGCTAACTTCAGAGCACCCACCGAGCTGTAGAAGTCTTCTGAGATCTTGCTCTCAACATCCCCACATAGAGAAGTCCATCAGGGTAAACCTGGGAGAGGGTGAAAGGTCACACCTTGCTCCTGTGGCCGGAGGAGTGCGCATCCAGGACGGCATTGATCGGTTCGAGGGTATTAGAGAGCCCAACTTCATTAGGGAGCAAGACGGTCGTTGAGCAGAATGCTCGTGATTTCAGACGACATGCCGTACCTCATACAAATCTTTTGCAAAACCTAAGAGTCGATTTCCACAATTTCTGGAAACGAATACCAATGGAGCTTCACTTTTACATGTTACCCCTCCTGATGTATCAAACTTTCGGCAGAGGGCCTGTTATTGACCAAAGGTATTTCGGAGACTTGCTCTCACTTTCTGGCAACAAGTGCGCCCTATCGCGAAGGAGTTTAGTTCGAGATTTCTTTCGTAAGCTTCAATCGTAGAAAAAATGTGGTGCCTCGAGCTTGCGCAGAAAACTTCTGCATTCTATCATTCGATTGTATTCGGAGTGCTGCAATGAAAACCAGCATAGATAGAAACGGTGTTTCTTTAGAATAGGGTTGATTTTTGAGACCTATTGGTAGGATTGACGGCAGATCCTGGGATTAAAAGCGATGTGACTTACGCTGACTCCCAGTGGCCCGCCTCTACGTGATTGCCCTACTTCTGCATACTTCTTGATCACAAACCTGTTACGATCCCAGAGATGTGTACTTGAACCTTGAGAGCAGCGAAGATGTTTCCGAAGAGTAGAAGAGGGAATATCGAGTCGCTCTGCGAAGTCGCAATTTCGGAGACCGTCCTTGGGCAGTCCCTTGATTATGGGTCGATGCCAACCATAAGAAAACTTCATAGCGAGAGTTCAGATGAACTTTGGACCAAATAACTTATTAAGCTTCATGCACAGCTAAAACTTATGTCCCGAAATTACCACGACTCAGGGCCAGCAAGCGGTTAAAGTCGCGTTCCTATACCTTTCAGCCAACCTGTATGTGTTGCGCATCCGATTCAACGCGGCGTGTTTTGAAGGAGGAACTATCCCGAAACTACCAAAAATTCTGGCTTCGCTATTTCTTATTTGCCTGCGCCCACTTGCAAGGATTCTACGAGAAGAGCATCGAGTCTCTGAGTGAATATTGGCGAAGTCTGACACAAAAGTAGGTAGGTAGTTCTGAACTGCCGCGTTGCTGCTGTTTCAACAGATTTCACGTGCATACATTCAAAAGCGACGTTTATAATACAACAACCTAATATTTCCTTCTAAAACCCTTCCCACAATGCCTTGCTGCTCCGCACGTCGTCTTCACAGACTATGCTACTCCAAAGACATGTTGCCTTTGATTGACCGCAATATCGTTTGCGTGTCTATTTTAAATCAGCATAAATTATCTTCTAAATCTAACATAGCTACTCAAAGAAGCTAAAAACCTTACATGAAGAATATCTTCGAGGGTAGAGTGTAAATCGTGAGGGGTGACAAGTTCTTGGCTATTTGCCATTAGTTGTTGATGGAGTTTTGTGTGCCTCAAATGCTTTGGCAATACCACGTACAGGAAGGGATTGTTTTGTTCGCTAATACCGAATTTGGTGTAGGCTTCCTGCAAGAAACTTCAGTTGTTCATAAAACTCAATGCATTAGGCAATCAAACTCCTAAAAGTATAAGTTAAGCCCGAAGCCGGTAGAAGGGCTACAAGAGTAGAGGGAAGTTTGCCCCTCTCTTGTTCGAACTGTCAGGTGGTTCCCTAGAAAAAATGCAACATAGAGAGTGTCGTTTTTTCCTGCCGAATAGAAAATCTTAAATATTCCCACGTTTTCGCATCAACCATCGTTATTCAAAATTTTATCAACTCTACAAAATGATGTTTCGCTCCCTCATGCGTTGCAAAGGCCCTGAATTGCAGACCTGCAAAATGGGCGATCAAGTCTACGAAATCAGCCAACCAGAGAACTAACTCTGACTTTTTCCCTCCTCTAGAAATCGATCAACTATGTACCCTGTACCTACCAACACACCTTTCCTGAGCAATCCGCTATAAGCTATGAATTGAAGCGAAGTGAAGTGCGAACTTTCAGGCACACGTATTACTTTGAAAAATTTATTCTAGATGAAATCAACCACGCATACATTCCAAAGTTAGTCACGTGTCCTTTACTTTCCACTGGATTTTCTGCACTTCAGCTGTTTTTGAGTCTAAGTAAAACACTTAAGCCAAAATAGAAAAGCGAAACACAAGTCCTTGAAAGCCTACCAGCGAAATATTCAGAAGAACTCGTATCTAAACAGAAATGTCTTTGAGCACTTTTGCAAAATTGTCTTCTGCATTTGACAGAGGCATTTACATGGAACATATTAGAACTGTGTCCAATTTTTCTGAGAGGCCCTGCCAATACCAAAAACTTAATGAAATATCTATCACAGGATCGATCCTGGTTGGTGACAATGTTTTGCATTGTAGAGTAGAGCCTGGTAAATGGTGCTGAATACAGCCACCCCCGGAAATCGATGCTGAGCTCACGAACAGGGTCATCGTTAGTCTTTTTGCGTAGGTCTTTGCTCGAAATTGAGGGAAAAGTGTACGATGTTCACACAGAGCCAAACTAAGATATTGGACTTCGAAAAATTGGACTATGGGAAGGCGGGCTTAGTAAGGCAACCAGGCGTCCCAACCAGCTTTGAAAGCGGAATTTACGCTGTAAAGACAACCCATTCCAAATTAAGGTCAGTTATACAAGAAAGAAGGAAAAACTATGAGAAACGGCCCGGAACCCGAGAAATGGGACCCCTTCCTTGCCCGTTGATTTCCGCATTGATGCGACTCTCATCGTGCCCTCTTCAACGCTAACGCTCTCTCTGCTATGTCGGTGGGCGTACCGCGCCAACTGCGCCAAGAGTGAGCCATGCTAGATCGCCGAGATCAAATTTTTCGCTTTGCACGTCGGTCCGCAAGAGGCTTCGCCAAGGCTAAGAACACAAAGATGGACGCCTTCTACGAGAATTTGGAAAGCAAAATGCGGAGGATTCGTCTACAGACTGCTAAAGCCCGGCATCGAGCTACTCAGGACATAAAGAAGGGGTGGTGAAGAGTGTAGAGAGCTGAGTCACCATTATCCCTATGAAGCCGGCTGAAGTCAGGAGGAGGGAAGAGTATTACTGTGCACTTTAAACAAAGATTTGTTCCTTTACAAAGGCATTCGCTAGCAGAGGCAGCGCCTGGTTCTATCTTACTGTGGAACAGAGGATGAGCGTCGAGAAGTAAAAGAGATGAAGGCGGTGGGTCCAGATAAGGTGCCAATCGAGGCATGGAAGGCGCTCGGAGAGTACGGGATCAGATGGCTTACCCAATTCCTGAACACGGTAACCACCGAAGGAAGGATGCCGGATGCCTGGAGAACAAGCACTATCGTCCCCATCTTCAAGCAGAAGGGTGACGCGATGGACTGCTCCAACTACCGCGGTATCAAGTTGACTGCCATACCATGAATTCAAACAAACTCAACTGCCACGAGCAGTAACGGAGAGCGCTCGAAGAACAAAAGGACCAGACTATCTGATCTCTCTGGTGAGGGATATGTACGAAGGAGCCAAGGCAGCTATACGCACCCCACTAACGAAGGAGGTGGACATCACGGTTGGGGTGCACCAAGGGTCAGCTCTGAGCCCCTTCTTCCTCCTAACACTAGATGTCCTGGTGAAGGGCTCATGGAAGGACCACTGAAGACCATCCTCTACGCTGACGACATCGCCTGATAGCGGATAGCAGAGAAGAAGGCCAAGGTGCAGAAATGGCAGAAAGTCCTGGCAGAAGGTGGGCTCCGGCTGAATGTCAAGAAGACCAAGTTCCTGAGCTCCGAAGAGGGTGCAGAGCCGATCGTAGACGGCCATGGTGAGACATCGGAGGAGACGTTCGTTACCTAGGGAGCAACCAAAAAGAGTCAATGGGCGGTGAGGTCAAGCATCAGCGCGGCATGGATGAAATGAAGGTAGTCCATCGAAATCCTACGCGAAGAAAGATGCTCCAAAGCGCTCAAAGGGAAGGTGTACCAGGCACTGATAAGGCCTTTCTATACGACAGCCGCGAGGCTGACTCCTGACAGGAACCACGGAAGGTAGCTTCACTCTTTGCGGAAATGAGGGATTAGAAATGAGCCTGGACTGGGCTATAAACGAGGATGTCAGAGCGGTCACCCAGATCGCCTCAATCCAGTCGATGGTGAGGGAACAGTAACTCAGACACAGGCTAAGGAGGCCCCAGGATCGCCCGGACTATTAAGGACGCAGTGGACTTCGAAGCGCAGGCAAGCTGGCCCGCGGGTGAGCTCTAGAGGAAGAGGTGGAGGCACAGGGTCAGCCGCGGGTGGTGGATCGATCTCGGAGTACGTTTGCGACCTTAGGTCTTGTACACTGCCAAGGAAAAGGATAACATGATGGAAAATAAGTAAAAGCACAAGATAGTTACCTTGAAATTGAATACAAGAGCAGAACATGAGCTCCAGTAGTTTACTGATAAGAAAAAAATCGCAAAATGAATTGCCATCGTTAAAATGCGGCCTAAGCTATTGGTGGGCTCTCAGAAGGCACAAGGAAAGTATTTCCGTCTTCAATACGCAAGGACATGTCAGTATAAAGAATTCATAACGCAAACCAGTGCATGGCACATCTAGAGCACGATAGTGTACTGCAGATGTGTCTGAATTGAGCACGTGAGCGTTGCGTTCATCTTGGCGCGCGAAATCTTCCCATCGACCCAGCGCGGATAGACCTAGGCGGACTACTAATTCAACTAAGTGAGTTCTCAATATCAATATTTTTCAATGCTGAATAGATTCGTAATCTACAAGAGTGCTAGTTTTGTAAAACTACCACATTTGTACATTATCATAAAAACTTTGTTTCTCTCTCTGAAAGAATGTCCGATTTTTGTAGAGCTTCATTCCTTTGATGGTCACCCCGTTGGACGATTTTTTTTTCTTACAAATGAGTTTTTTTGGCTTTCAGTGACCATAACTTTCTTCAGATTCAAACCTTTTGTAATTCTTGATTGTCCTCCTGGATAAAACTAAAAGGTAGAACTGTTAATGGCTACTCTGTCTCACATCCATAATGACCCATTCGAAAAATTGTCCGTTTTGATTTGGACCGTTTTTTTTTCATGAATTTTCGGAGACGTCTTGATTCTAATCGTTTAATGCTGTGAGCCTGCGCCTCGGACTTTATTCGCATCTGTATCTGTGTGACATTTCGTCATTCCACGCATTGCGACGTTTGCTTCTACGAATACGCCCCCTCCACCTTTCGCGTCGGTCAAGTACGACACCCACGTTACACTTGGTCCAACGGACGGTTAACCCTGGGTGAGAGACGTCATCAAAAAGGACTACACTGAGGTCACGGCCACGGCAGAAGATGCCCTGGACAGAGCAAAGTGGCGACGACTGACAAAGACAGCGGACCCTGCGACTGCGCGGGACTAACGCTAGGGAGAAGTTTTTACTGCATGACAAGTAAAACATTTTCCTCGAGTTCTCTTGTTGGACTGGCAGAGCTATGATGCTACGAATACTTCTAACCGTTATCATACATAGTGGAAGTCGAGTGCCATCTTATTCAACGGGTTGCACGTCACAGTCGATGAACAAATCATTATGCATCTTCTGCTCTGTTAATTGAATGCAAATGGTCGGCCTCCGAAAGATAACTTCGTGGGCTTGGTGAACAAGTTTTACCTTGGATTTCAGCAAAGGAAAGTGTCCCGGTGTAAGCGACCCTTGTACTAGATCCTTTCCTACCTTACATGCATAATCTGGCATACTCAAGAACTAGAGTTGATGTTTGCAAAAGGAGGCTACAATATGTTAGCATCTGTGGATCTCTCCTTCATCTTCATCGCTGTTAACTGGAAGGTGGTCCTGCCAAGTGCGCTCAAGAGGATCCTGACTTTTTCGACTTTCCATAATGTTTGTTTGTACGAGAAACAAAATTGATAGTTCGCAAATTACGAAGGCCTTGATCCTTTTAACAGTAAGGTAGGTGTTTCTGCAAGATTCTTGACGGCCAATCTCCGAGGTAGTGTCCGCATAATGAGTTATTGCGGAACGATGGGGAAAACATTTTTGAAAATGACAGGGAGCACTGATACGTAGGACATTCTAGAGATACTCTAATTTTGATATAATTTTTACCCTTCAGTCGTTCTCTCATTCGGACTTCTGAAGTGTGCGCCAACTTTCAGAAGGTACGCTGTATGTTCACATTGGAATCGGAGGGGAATGATTCTACTAGCATCAGAAGATATTATTCCATGTTTATATTCCTAAGACGGTCTTCTGATCACGCTCTCGGAAATGCGAATGAAAATGCAGGTTACTTACGTCTCCACTACGTGGGCCGTGATC